GGCAGAAGAGGTGCCGATGGTAGAAACACTGACTCAATTTACGGTGTTACTTATCAGATGTAACGTCCCAAAAGAGCAGTGGTGCTTGGAGCAAAGGAACGGGAACATGAAGTGACGATTTACCCTAAAAACCCCAAATACGTTAGGTTATGTTGATATCCTCATCAAGTATGAAATCCCACAGGTCGACAGCAATCAATCACATAATCCAAGCCTGACAGTGACGAGCAGAGAAAGTTTAATTCGTGTTCGTTCAGCGTGATGATGAACTTGCAAAAAGATAAATCTACTCGGTCAGGGTGATGAAAAATGCATTCAACAGAGATTGTATCATTATTTAGTACACCAAACAGTTCTCAAGCCAAGCAGAATTAGAGACGCAAGAATGGTCTTCCATTGTGCCACCAAATACCTTCGTGTTTCCACGAACGACGTTTTTCTCTATACTTCATTTTCGGGAATATATATACTAATACAAACAGTTCTCAGAAAAAGGAACACGGCCAATATAAGTGCAACCATACATCGAAAAAGGAAGGAAGTGCGTTATTGTGTGACATCAAATCTGGTAACTGGTTCTCCTGAAATTCCTATGGGGTTAAGTGAAAACGAATCAATCTCAGTGTCATCCAGAAGCATCATCTCCATCAATAACTATGACAGAGCCTCCTACATCAACGTAGACGCAAATTAATTAGCCAAAACGGTATCCAAATTTGAGTCTATCTTTATTTTCCGGTTGAAAAAAATGCCAAATAGTCGCCAACTGCAAATTCCAGTATTGAATTAGTCTCCGAATAGTAAACTACTAGTGACGACTCACTAGTACCAGAATGCTACTTCGTCTTGAGCGAGAAATGATCATGAACAAGTTCCAAATAATTTTCAAACTAAAGGAAAACTCATTGGCTAAAAAAGGTTTCCATGCCATTGGTCGCTTTGGTTTTTGAATCATCAGGCTTATGAGCTCGTTGGATAATCATATTGAAATTTCTGGTCCATTCCAACTCAAAGAACGTCGCGGATGTGAGGAACCAATGATTGCGATTGAATAACCTCAGAACGTTTGAGACGTTCTGAAATACTGCCCGGTTCCACGTTATCCGAAGCGATCAGGTCAGAACTCGCAGAATAGCACATTTCCCGTGACCCTTAGCAGAAGGCTGATTGAGCAACAGCTCACGAGTACTTCGTCATGATGTCTGCATTAAGAAACTATATGATGCTGTTTGTAAATACAATGATTGCGCAGCTTTATGAACATCATTTAAATAATACTCAAAACCGGATATCGAATTTACCCACATTGTGTTCTTCAACCAAGTTGGTGTGCATTTGTCGTCAGATCGATGAAGAACTGTAATCAACCATAATCTCCTTAATGATACCTTTGAGGAAATTTTGATCAGTAGTAACGGCTGTTCGTGAATGTTTGCGTCCGAACAATGTACCACCTATGTGGGGTTCCGGGATGACAGACTGGCTAATAAAGACGACAGATTTGATATTCAAGTCACTGTCATTCATTTGGGGGTTAGAACACGGGGCACAACACACTGCCTTTCAAAGAAGTTTCCCAGTTATCAGTTATCAGGTAAACTATTATTTATCCATCTGACCGACTGCTGTCAACGAGTAGTGTTTATAAATTACACGTAGAGACAACAAAAGGGATATTGGAGGTTTTTCAATTGTGCTGATCAGAAACGGGGAATCTGCGTTGCGACCCAAAGCTGAGCTATGTAAAGTGCATGAATTTCGTGTACTCTCAAAATGTATGGTCTGGTCAGAATGTACTAAGCGTGTATCGGTGATGAGTTGCCTGAGTCGTTGAAAATTGCCCAATTTTAAAGGAACTGATGGCTATAAAATTAATTTTAGAGTACACTGGAGGATGCGAACTAAATGGTCTAGGATAGTATGTACCATCAAATTGTATCATTAAGCACTGCATCTAATGGTGTTTCCAAATAAAACAGGTATTTTGTTTGCTAAATGTGGATAACACGTTCCGCAACACATACCGTTGCAATTAAAGCAGACCGCGGCGCGCACGTGCTTCACTTGTTTTTGGATCTCTTTGCCTCCCGGACTTCCCTTTCTGTTCGTTGCGTTTACGATTTTTAATTAATTGTAACAAGACGATAGATTGTAACAGGAAACTGTCCGGATCTCTCAGCTCATTGGCCCGCATTCCAATAACAATCTACTATCTCACAGAGTACTTCACTCCGAATGCTTTTTTGTAACAGAAATACACACGCTTGGTCATAATAACATCAGGAAATTTGTTTACACCAAAAGAGTCCGTAGTTCAAACTCACTGCTTCAACTCAAAACATATTTTTTGTTATTTTACGGAACAACCTCGTTTTGTTTGTTTTCTCGATTGTTTACTCCAACGACGGGGATTTGATGACAGAGAAAAGGGGAATAAATGCCTGGGATTTTTTACCTTCTTGGGCAAGGAACGAACAATGTTTCGTATGCAAAATGTCAGTAAAACACAGTTTGGTTCAGTTCCGAAGACTGCTGTCTTGACTGGACCCAAAATCCGCTTCGGTTAATTCAAGTGATCTTCTTTTCGGTCAGTCTTGGTTGAGATTGTGGGTTGCTACAATCGGAGTTGAAGAAAATCTATTTCCTCATTCTGCAAACTATGTGGACCAATCTTACCTTAACATAGCATATTATATCATCCACCAGTGACAGTTTCCATTTGACCTTTCACTCGCAAAATCCAGTGTACCCCAGCTTGTAATAGGCATATTTTGTTTTGTTACCGATTAACATCTAAAACTGGGTGATAAGTTGCATTCTCCCTATCCTTTGTATCAACTGCTTGTCGTTGGGGTGTAGGAAATACTATTTGGAATCTGTTTAGCTGTTTATACTATGAGTTTTTAAAACTTATCGCATTTTGCCACAAAGATCGGATCCCTTGCGTTTTGTGTGAAAATTCATTTTAGTTCATGCAAGTGATTTCGAAACACTTTATCCGGGAATAACTGAGCTCACATTGACCATGGTAGTTCAGTTGAGTGGACAGGCTGATAAAATCTGAGACCAGTCAGCAACCCACGGAAGGATTTTGACTGTAATCGGCCTGGTCATGAATTCGTAGAACTCCAAGTGGTCCTCACGTGCACGTGACACCAAGTCATTGGAAAATGTTGCCAAGTTCTCATGCGCATGACCCTTATGATTCGCATAGGTTGATTTAACTCGGGAGGGAACTGAAAACTCTTTTCGACCGATCAGGTTGTTTGCCACAGATTTTGTTACACATCATCAGCTTCTCGAACATTTTCTAACTTGACAGTGCGCAGATCAGCCGACTTGACAATATATGGTGTGATTTCATTATATACTGTCAATCACCAAAACTTCATTTTCATGAGTACTAAGATAGCATATCTTTTGACTAGTTAAGATGTCAGTGCAACGTGGAATAGTTTTGTGAAATTGTCCGACGCAGGGTTGCAACGTGATGGAAGGCTACAAAGCCTTAGCCAGGAACATATTTAAAAACTAAACTCTTCCGGTAATTCCGGGCACATTTAAGCTGCGGTCATACTATAAGTGTATCTGCAGTTGCTCGTGATGGCGGTGGTAGTATTAACATTCGTGTTAGTAGTAGTAGGGGTTGGAATAGCAGTAATAGTAGTATTGGTAGTAGAATGTCGGTAAAAACAAATATCGCAAACACTTTTATCAGGTGCGAGTGAATAATGCACTGCCTTTGAGTGATTGACATCGGAACATCAGTTGATAGATTTGAGCGATCAAAGAGAACTTCGTCGAAAACGGTTGCACCCACGACAACCTAATTAATCATGACCTATGTATTGATCATTTTCAGTTAGGATCTAAACGAACCAGTAAACGGGTCAAGCTAGATCGTAGATTTTTATGATTGCTTTCTTTGATTTAGGTTTACTCAATGCTACTGCGTGTGGATGAAAATTGCAATACAGTTAAACGAAGACATTTTAAGCATATACAAAAAACGACAATTTGAAAACAAACTATGTGAGCAGCAAACCACCCAAAATTTGTTCGCTACCGCTTGACACTGGGAGAAAATCGTGTCTGACTAACCTGATTGCCATTTTGAATGAGATTTCTAGAGGATTGGATGAACGACGACAGGCGGAAGTCTACTACTTTGATTTCCGGAAAGCCTTCGATTTAGTCATCCATAGAATATAAAGGTAGGGGTGGAGTAAGAAATTGTTTCTTGCAGTTTCTCAGACGCTGTACTTTCTGAGTGAATTGTATTTATACAAACTACTTGACACGGGATCTTTAAAATCTCTGCTTCATATTCGTAGACGAGATGAAACCAGCGGGAATAAATCCGGAGTACAAGGCAGACGGTGAGTGATCTAGTGGGACTTGCCCGTAATCGTTGAAAAGTGTCCAATTTTAATAGCAAGAACTGAACGGACAACAGTTACCAGTGCAGAACGCAGATGTAAAAGAAAGAATTTAGGAGTTATTCTTACAAAAAGCTTCAAGATCAAAACCTAATTCCTAAAAGTAGCGAACAAGGTCTGCGATGAAGATATTTTCGGGTATGTGCTACCTTTATCGGCCAGAATAAGCCTCACAGAATCACAGGGTGTGTTGAATTCAACCGTTTCGTGGTAATCTCATCGACTGCGTACATACATACCAGAGAGGATCTGAATGAATGTACAAAGCTGACGAGATTACCACGAAATAGTTGAATTCAACACACACACTGTGATTCTGTGAGGCTTTTTCTTGCTGATATGAAAATTTAGTTTCCCTAAAAACAATCTCCACACTTATTCGTTTCATCTAGAGCTGAGTAGACGGGTTCTTGAATGAAATTAGAGATAACCTCAACTCCCATACTGTCCTTGTGTTTCGGAGTATTTGCTCCCAGGAATGATTCACTCCAGGTATCACGGACAAATCCCAATAGGAGATAATTTTCTTACAAAAAAATGACTGTAAGCGCACAGACTTACCTTCTGTGTAGTCTAGAGGATCGGGCATCTGGAATGAAAGAATAGATGCAATCAATTATGGCAAAAATCAAAAGTCTTCTACAAATAATGATCGGTTTGCAATGTGTGTTACGTAAATTTCAAGTTTTCAGTGTTCCAATGACCTGCTCAGCTTAGCAACAGACCAGTTTTATTCCAACATGAGAAAATTGTTAATTATTTACTTTATTCACCGACAACGTACAAGTTTTTCTTCAGGATGCCCACGGTGGAAAACCCATTCCTTATAAAACGGAAAAAGTGGGAAGACTATCTTTTGTATCATTTCCCAAAGAACAGCCTTCACCAGATCGTTAGACTGAGTGTTTATACTTGCACGCTCTTTTCAGACAGAATCTTTTCAATTGTGAGTAAAAATGAATTTCTAGGTTGTATGAGATGGGTTGTGCTATATCACGTAGATGGAGAGCGAACAAAACGGTCTGATCAGCTATCCGGTATCCGAGCGGGTTGTGTACTTTTATGCTGCCTGAGAGATCCCTGAGAGATTATATCCCCAGTTGGGTCGAGGGATTTGCACCATTGATTAGACCCAACCAGGTAAAAACAGCTGTACGGTGTTTCCTTGCTTTTCAGTTCACGCTTCATTCTCTCTACACACGAGGAATTTCCCCTTTGTGATTTTCAGTTCGTGTGGACATTGATCTCTTTGCAAGTCGGATTTTTTTTATACACATTATGTAAAATGCCACAGATTTTCACATAATAATGGATCAGATTCTGAACACTCGTTCGTAACTGACTTCAGTAGATGAACTTTTATTTCCTCACTCACTCCTTGTACTGGCATCTCTGTGAGTATATCAAATATTTACCATATTGTCGCATTATCTATTTGTCATACACAGAGAGTTAGAGACAGTATGCAAACTTATTGTGTTCGTTTCTATGACCACAATACAGACATTGTGCTTGGACCACACACTTCTTTTCCGAGAGTTTTGAAGATCAGATTTTGAATATCAGACATAATACGGGTAGCTCCATTTCTGGTCAGTGCATGTAATCAAGTGTATTCGGTCCGAATAAGAAAAAAAACAGAAAGCTCATCTCAAACAGTGCATCTGAGTTTGCAACACGATCAGTGTCAGTAGATTTAATGAAATCCTATCTGATCACGTTGCTATGTTGGGACTTCTTTCACATGCAGTGAGATATGTTCCGTGCGTCACAAAAGCATGATTATCAGTGATGGAAAATATTTGCGCTTCGCACTTAACTTTAAAGTTGATTTGTCTAGGAGTTGAAAGATTCTAACCCCATTTGATGAAGGCGCACTCCTACTGGTTGAGAAACAAAAGCAGAACAACCTTCAGTTGAACGCATCTCAAATAATCACTTTCCGTGGGAAGTTTGTTTATTTTGTAAGTTCGTGGCTGTGAATGGTTGACTATAGTAAAGTATAGTAGAACGTAATCCAAACGCACAAAGAGATTCGGATAACGATTGATTTGATCATAAATATCCCAATGCTGACTGACTGCAGATCAGGCTAACGGGATAACAGTAACTGGAATAAACTTGAACGAGTGCTTCAGAATGACCATATTTCTTGATTGCTTTCGTCGTGTACATGGCAAAAGAAGCGTTGCTATTCCTCCAACCCAACACAGGATCCAACCCAGTACGTTATGCTTTCTACCTACATGATAAAGAAGACCACACCGTCATTCATTTCACCTGTACACGATACAGCAAAGCATAGCTTAGCAAACTTACTGCAGGTGTCACAACTCATGACCTGTTAAATGCACACAATGCTGACTACGGTCACAAGACGGAGTTTACAGTTCAGCTGAATCCCGTTCACACAAATGTACCTTGACTGACCCCAGTGACTGTATGTACAATTTCACTGATCGAAGAATTCGGATTGTGAACAACAGACGTTTTTGACGAAATACAATGCGATTGCATTTTTACTGATTTGAGCAGACTATCTTTCGGACTTCACCTCGGAAGAACTAGACTCGAGTTTTGTTGTTATTGGAGCTCATCAGCAGTGCATATCCACCGTGCCGTTCCGGTTTTGAACTCCGGACACATCGCATGGAAGGCGTGTGCGTTACCACTTTATCAACCAGCTCAGACCATGGCTGAACCAAACTGCCAGTTCATGTTTGTTCAAGTGTCACCTTCAGTGATAGTCAGTTCTGAGTGTATGGTTGAATCGATGAACTGACTTTTGGGCGTAAAGGTGAAGTCCGAAGGGTAATCAGCTCAAATCACTAAAAATCCATTCTCCCACACCACTAATCACAAGTAACTGTGTAAAATGGAATTCGATTTGTCTATCAAAACGTTCCCGGTAAACTCCGACAACAAACGGCTTTCACAAGCCACCCATAGAGTTTAAAATGCCTGAATATAAGTTATAATAATATCTTTTTACTTCCTTTGTTTTATTTATTGAATACACATTCAGGAAGGGGGGGGCGCGGTCATACAATATCTGTCTGGGAAAGTACAGATATAGGAAAGACAGGCATTGGTGTAGGGCGTCGAACCCGGGACTCCCAGGTGATAAGTTCGTGACATAACCACTACAATCACAGTCGAGACGATGTTTACTCATCATTTCTCTCACTTTCCCTTGCTTTTTTAGTGACATCAATATATTGGAGTTTCATTCTAAATTTGAAAGAATCATTTCTTCTCAACATTCCGCCATCCAGTCGTTAAGTATGACACTCCAGTTTTATTCCTGTTGGAGCTAATCAGTAGTGTATGCACTCCGACAATGTCTATAGCTGTGGTATGTATGTTACCCATTAGATTGTCGTGCGCATTGTTTCCTGGTTGCTCTTTGATGCATGGAAAGAGAACGGAAGGTGGTCAAACCAAGACCTGCCATGAGAGCTGACTTTCCCACGAAGGTCGAATTGGGTTTTCCGGTTCATGACCTCGGGATCACTGTATTCAATGGTTGCCGGCACTAACTGATATAGTTTAGTCTTTTAAACGGTGGAGTGTGTGTATTTACTCAATTTTCCTGAATTACATGTATATATGCCCTGACGTGGATTTGAAACCCACATTTTTTCTTGCTCATCCCAACGAGTAACCAACAAGCAGCAATCAATAAGTAGCTGTTAAAACTGAACTGGAACTGAGTCCCAAATGACACAAAACATTTGGCCAATACCATCCAATAGTTGTATCTCGTGAGTCAAAAGCAGAATAACCGATTGTTTCGGGTTGGCTATCCCGTGATAGAATCTGACACGTACATTACATTGATTAGGTTGATAAATTCAAAATTGCTCAAATGAGTCGCTGCACACCTAAGGCAGTGGAGATAGCACAGAGTAACTTGTGCAGTTGACGATTGATGACTGCACAATAATCTCCTACAATACGAGTGATGAAAGTTTTCCACAGAAACTGAATCTTCGAGAAAGGTGAGTATTGTAAAACCTACATTCTACCAACTGAACTACGAGACCACATCAAGCGGTACGATTTTTTTCAAGTGTCTAGCCGCCGATAATACACAGATACGCAACCGACCACACGGCATGTGAACTGACCGCCAAGGCAGGTTTTCTTCAGCATCACTGGAGTGGACCGCATAAAAAAAACTCGGATGGCTAAATCAATGTGAAAATTAGCCCGATTTGGTCACCGTGGTCGGCGTCGTGTTTTTTTGGCTCATGTTGTGGTGCGTAGGTTTTACAGAAACATTAGAGAGAAGGTCGGCATCCATGTGTCCGTTCAAATCCTTAACGGGAAACGCATGATTTATTCATATTTGGATAACACAAGATTCTTCATTGTGTTTTCTACGAGAATTAGGTTTGAAAACCATTCCTTTGTGAAATGTTGGAACAATAAAAGCATTGCTTTTGATCACTGCGTTCAAAGTGAGACAAACTTAAGAGGACTCCGGAAAGTACAAATAGCTGGAAATGTTTTAACCGATCACATTGCACTGTTCAGTAATAGAGAGGACATTTCTTTTTGATATACCCCATCAGCTAATTCTCTAACCAACTGATTATTTATATCAGTTTGGCACTTGGTGGGATCTGCTACATGATACAACTCGCTAAATAAAGAACTATCGAGTGATGGTAAACAGCTGTGCAAGCCTGAACACCCTTGCACTTGTCCCGTTCAAATGGACAGACGTCATGCCGATTCTCCGCAAAAATACATTTGGTCGCAATCACCGTATACAGAGTGGGGTATTAGGTTAAACTGAAACGTGAATTCCTGTTTCTGGATGTGCGAACGATTTGTGAGTCATCCGAAAGCAAAGCTCCTACACTGTGCTGGTGAACATCGTAGCAGGTAACATAGATCGTAAAGTTTGGACCATGTGAAGAGACCATGCAGGACAACGAGATAAAGACAAGGTAAAGAAATGTAGGGATGCATCGACCAGTAGGAGGTAACGCAGATCCCCGGCGTTCTATTTTTACTGTATCTACTACTTTCTTTGCCAGTGAAACGATGCATTTGGACGCATCCAAGCAGAAGTAACAGCAAAATGACAAATAGACATTTCGNTTGTCATAGCCATTTTTATTCATGAAATCATCTTTGTTATTTACTGCGGCCTACTTTCATATACAATGAAGTGGAACAATAACACTCACTGCACAGAATATCAATAATTAGTACTATTCTATTAAGATGTCGAACAACACTCCTGTAATCTGGTATCAAAGATATCAAACCTATTTTCATGACGTCATACCCGGACTTCTGAAAAAACAGCTGGATAAAAAACCGATCCATTACATTGTAAAGAAAATGTAAAACCAAAAGCGTGACAGAAAGTATATGCTATTTTTCTCTAATCCAAGATATATTTCGTCAATTCTGAATGACATACGTTCATCGACAGGTGTATTAACTTCACGGGTAAAGAATACCTTTACCTGGTAATAGCAAACGCATGATATATCGCATCCAAAGAGCGAAACACAGAATGAGAGAAACATCAAAATTCAGATGATAATGACGATTGAACTGTCTATTCAT